CGGAAATGCAGCCATCTTGGCTTTGCCTAATGCGCTGCATTTTAGAGTGCACACATATATGCTCTCGCACATGCTCGCACACCCACACCTGCACATTCGCATTGTTTGGTGCCAACTTTTGCATCTCTTTCTGCACATCTGGCTGCTGCTGCTATTGCCGTTTCCGTTGTTCTGAGCCATTTAACATTTTTAATTGCAGCACAGCAGAGAAACATCAGCTGCAGCTAAATATCGCTGCTTAAGACAGTAGTTGTCATTAATGTTGGATAATAGGCCCGAGCAATGCGAGCATTTTGGAGCAGGTCTATATGAAGCAAGAGTTTTATGATAAGACAGAGTATTTTCAGTTTATCACATATGCTGCAATTATTTGTTTAGACCAAGTACTTGCAAGGTAACTCCACAAAACGGTGGCATACGTATACATATGCATAAAAGAACACGTCCATGGCATACAATTAAAGCACATCTTGTCATCATTCCAGAGGGATTCTTTGACATTGTCTGCGCTTGGTGCCACGAGCTTAAATATTAATGCTGTGTTGGAAACACAAACTTGCAAAAACACAAAGGAATATGCAGACATATTTAAGTCTATAAAGCCAAATGCTCCATTAAGAAATCTTTTTTCTCTATTAGTAATTCAAGAGCTTTCTGCGCCGCATTCACATACTCAGATAGTTACACACATACATGTGTCTGTATGAATGGGATATACCCATAGGTACATAAGTAAATACATACATATACGGGTAGTATATAAAGCAGTAGACAGCCGACTTAGTCGGGGCTGGCACTTGTAGCATTTCTGATGTTTCTGCGTCCGTTTTGCTGGCGCTGCCAAAAGTGCTTTTGCATATTCAAGTTGTTTTGTTTCAACCGCCACCACCACTAACGCGCTATCGCCCCCAGTCCTTCTTTCTGATTTTTTCCTCATATCAAATGAATTTTTCAACAGCGCACGCCGTAAATTCTTCATTTCTCCGCCCGGTTTGTTTACGTTGCCGGCTTCCTGATGCCCGCTTTTGAAGTTGGCGCACAGGAAAGCAAGGCAGAAAAAAAAAAACAAATTATATGTATATAAAATAAATACGCGCTTATTCACAAAAAGGTATTCTTAGGGGAGAAGCTTTGAATTTCGGTGTTTAAAGCTGAGCGCAACATTGAATTTATACAGAGGACTCACAACTATGTAAATGTTTCTATGTATATAATGTACATATGTATATATAAATTTTGTCATTTGAGTCTTGCACATTAAGGCCAAGTGCCTTAGTTCTCTAGTGCCAAAAAAAAAAACGCTTAATTTGTTTTACCAGTTGGATGTGGTTTTCAGATTAATCATGCCGGCAATAATATCAACTAAATAACAATTCACCTCCGGAATCCTGTCCACACACGGCTGTGCGACACGGCATACCCTATCGGGCTGTCTTACAAATATTTCCTCGCCGGATCAGAGATTCCTTTTCTTTATTTATTTTTATTTTCACTTAAGTCTCTGATCAGTTTTCATTTCAAATTTGTATTTTTAAAAATTTGTCTTGTAGGTCTATAAACGCCTCTGACTACAATTGGCTGTGAATCGGGGCATCGGGGCTGGAAGATTGGCAAAAAAAAAATTTGGGCCACCAATCCGGAGGCGTTTATTGGATATTATTGTGATTTGATTATATTTTCATACCCTGAATATAACATTCAGAAGGAGGCGTGGCATACCCCCCAAAGTATATATATTTTTGATCAGTATGACAAGACAAAATTTGTGAAATTACAACTATAGCCACTATATTGACGTAAATGTATTTTATTAAAACTGTACGACTTTTAATTTAATTAATGTAATTGTAATAGCTTAATTTTTTTTAAATGTACTAAAAACATTGAAAGAATAGCATTCCTCTCTTGTTCCTACTTTAGCTTTCCTACATAGCTGAAAGGGCTCTATTATATCGTTTGTACTGATCAACCTATGTCGACAAATTGTGTTTCTTGACGGAAAATAAAATAAAATAAAAAATTAATGATTTCATTTTTCAAATTCCATATGTTTAAAGCACATAGTAGTTATGTTATTCAAAATTTACAATTTTTTTTAAATAGGAGATGAATATCGAATTTAAATCCCATTCCCCATGGGAGTCAATGATTTGTGTATAAAAATCACTTCCAGCTACTAAATAAACTGAAGGGTTGGATATTGCTGCACCGCTAACAGGGATTTTTTTAAGATTTTTCAATTACGTTTAATCTTGCGCAACACCGTCCCGCCTCGAATGCACAACAAATTTTGCCGCGCGCCTCTAAGCAGGCAATTAAAATCTCGAAATCACTTTCCGCCCCGAGCTGACTTCCAATCTAAAGCGCAACTAAAGCAACCAAACTTCGGGGCAGTCAGTGCTTCAGTGCTCCAGTGCTTGAGTGTTTGAGCGTTTGTCGCGTGGCGCACACACCGGAGCAATTATTTTTCCTTTCTAATGGATTACGTGAGGTAATCTTCAACCGCAAAGACCCATGGCTGCTTTTTAAAAGCAGGCACTGCGACCAGGTGACGACGCTTCCCATCGGCCGCGAACGGTCGCGGTGGCCGCAGGGCGCAACTTTGGAGCCGCATTACTCACTGTCACCCGTTAAGTGTTGTTGGTATTGGTAGCCGCGTCGGCCTCGGGGCCAAGCGACATGCACCCGAGAATACAGGCGCAGTCGCCCCAATGTTCTAATTGCCTGGACGTCCTCACAAATCTTTCGTATCAATTATGGCCGCCGACGATGTCGACGCAACCGTGCAAAATTCTGTTTCGCAAATGCTTCCAATTTGCTGCGGCTGCTGCTGTTGACACTTTTTGCGACAAGATGCTTAATGGCCGTCGGGCATTATATGCGCCACATGTGCCATCGACTTTTACGCTCGTGTGGATTTTTTTAATGGCTAATTTCTGTGGCTAATGGTCGCGCATGATGTAAGCGTAGGCGAAATAATATTTTCTTGGGTTCGGCTCAGCTTAAAGCTTCATGTCTGAGAAAAGTGCGATGCATAATTCATATATCGCTCTTCCTGGAACACTTGTAAAGGATAACTGCATTATTACAGTATGTTTCAGGGAAAACGTCATACGTACATACTTATATGTGTTTAAAAAGCCATACACAAATGAAAATGTGCCTTTTTGGGCAAGTGGGTATTTTAAAAAGTTTGCTTTGTTCTAACTGATTAATATGCAAATGGAATAATTGCATGTTTCTCCTTCTGGGGTCGCGTGGTAGATTAAAGAATTAAAATCTTGGAGACCGAAGAAAATACTGTAAGATGTCGAAAACGAAACATCAATCAGAAATATGTATAATTCTTGAAATTGTAGTCTTTCAACTTGTGGTCAAACGATAGCCAAGATATTGTGCTGTAGCTAAAGAACCTACTGTTCAAACCAAGTTTTTCACTTTAACAATTTTTCGCCACGAAAATGACAAATAAAGAGCCAAAATATTCATATTTAAAAATGCATGCATACAGTAATGGAATCCCACATCCGCGCAATCCCTAATATGTGCGATGCGAAGCACAACAGAACCAACAGCAACGACAACAAATATGCATTAATAAGTAATTCTTGTCGCAAAACACAACGTTGCCATCAGCCGAAACGCGTTCATCGCCCACACACGTTCAGACCCCACACAAGACCCAAAATATCCTTTCTCCTGGTCGGGTTTGGTTTGGTTGGTTGTGTTGGTGTGTTTATGTGAGTTTCATCTAACTCATAAATAAAATATTTTTAATTACAGGCAAATTGTTGCGTTTCTTCTTTTTGCATTAACACAAACGCAACAAAAGTGACTTTCCCAGAGGACGTGTGTCTGTATTCGGGTATTTAAGGCGGCTTCGTAATGCTGTTCTAAGCAAAAAGGACCGTCACGGAGACTACGCGTTTTAACGTTTGTACGTTTGTGTACCGCACTACCTATTCATATGAATTTAAGTATCACCTGTGTGGAAGACTTGGGTTGGCCAACTACTGCACAAAATGATTACATTTTTAAAAGGCCAATTTGTGGGTTAAGTTTCTTAATGCCTATTAATGTTATGTTCAAATCGCCAATTTTCACAACTTCCTTTTGTTTATTGGCGTGTAAATTAAAGAGAAATGGTTTACATATGTATATAGAATGAAATCCAAAATTGTCAGTTGACCAACATTACTTTAAGCGTATATTATTAATTCATATTGAGATATTATGGAGCGTGGAAACATGACCATGAAAATATGTAGGGCCATCTATTTACTATGCTCAACAAAATGCTCAGGTTCAGAAAGATAAAAGCATTTAAATTAATTTTAATTAAATGTTTTCCCATTTAAAAAATTTAAGTACAAAATAAACTTTTAAACTTTTTGGCTCCAATTTAAAGATGCACTGAATTCCTACATCTGGTCGTTATGGATTTGTTCGCCCTACTTTTCGCTGAGTGTATGGTCTGCTAGATTAATAAAAACTGGCGAGATCTCTGATAGAACAGTTATTATAAGTTTTCATGAATCATTTGTCATTTGACTGCACTCGCTGCTAACTTCGCGCTGCACCTGCGCGCTGGCGCTTCCGCCCAGTGATACTGGGCGCTACGCTATCCGCCTCCGGACCAGCAACAACGCTAGTAACTGTTCCAGTTAGCTGAGCAACTGTATTCACAACAGATCGCAGACAATAGAACACGCTTAAAGCTCTGGTGGGGCCGAAGCACCTGCGTCAGCATTGCCCACAAAAACGTCAACGTTTATCATTGTCTGCGACCGGCGACAACAATGCGCCCGCGTCGGCCGGTTGTCATAGCAACGGCCACAGAGAGCGGAGCGGGAGTAACTCGATTCGTACAGCCGCGCGCAGCTTAAGCTTTTCAGTATGTAGTATCTTGTTCGGTTCGGTATCAGTTGTTTGTGAGTGTCTTGTCGTTTGGAAGCATTTTTAAATTCGCGCTTGCCAAAATCAAAACAAGTTCTCCATTTCCCACAAGCACTTAAAAATACACTGGGAACTAACAAACTGTGCATAATTGGACAGAGTCAGCTTTTAGAGGTTACGCCCAAGTGATAAGACTTTGTGAACAGCGCTCAATGCACAAAGTACGCAGGTTTTCGACCATTTCGATGCTGTTGGTGCTGTTGTTGGTGCTCTGTGTTTTGTGCTTCCTCTGTGTTCGATCGCTTCCCCTCTTTGAGAGCGCCTCGGCGTGCAGTGCCATTGATGAGTGCGATCTGTTCGAGCCAATTTGTGCAGCCTACAACAACGAGCACCAGTTTTTCTACAGCCACTGCGATATGTTGCGCGAAATTTGTCTGACGGGGAAAGGTAAGGCCAATAGGCGATAATTGTGAGCCGCAATATTTACACACATCTGGGTCTTTCAGAATGGCAGTATGATTACTTTAGTCATTGTAATGTGAGCTAAGTGTGCAAAACCACGATTCCCCACCTCCGCCGCACGCGTATCGTAGGTAAGCAGAAATTGTTGTTTGGAATGTCGACTGTTGTTTTACATTTTTCTTGGCCTCTTTGCAGATTCATTCGTGGCTGAGAGCGCGCTTATTGATGACTCATCCAAAAGCAAACAACAAGACTGACATAAATACACGCGAGTAATTTGTTACTCAGTGTGTTTTCTTAAGAAATCGATCTGCTACATATATTATTATGTGAACTTTTTTATTATCTTTGCGACGAGCCGCTTTGATATGACGTACAATCCCAAAGAGTGCATCTTGCAACACGAAAGAAATGAATATGGCGTGAAGGCCCTACACTACCAAAGCTAAACCAAAACTGTGAATAGTGTTAGTTATGTACTTTTTGGTTAATGAATTAAAAAATTAATGAATCCCAACAACAAGTAAAAAGTTGAAATGCTAAGAATTTAACATAATCAGTTGAATAAAAACAGTTCACAATGAAATTATTGTGCTGTGGATTGCCAGTGTGTGTGTGAATTGTAGAAACATTATGCATTGCATCAAATATAACATTAGATTGTTGTGATTTGTATTAACCTTATTCTAGCTTAATTTAATTGACCCATAATTTGAAGAAGTTTTTATACCCCGTATATGAAATGTAAAGTGTAAAATTTAACAGGCAGAAGAAGGCGGGCAGACCGCGTGAAATATATACATACATACTTGTATGTATATCAGCATGTCAAGACGAGCCAGCTTAGCCATATCTGTCTGTCCGTATGAGCACCTAGATCTCAGAGACTATTAGAGCTAGACAAAATGTTATACACAGATGCATTGTATGTGTATGCAGTATAAGTTCTAAATATTCTACACATACACGTACTACTTGTACTACTTGTGTTTGGGTATTTCAAAGATGAAGCACCAAACTTTAGCTTTTCCAACTATCTTGTCAGAGGAAATTTTGAAAAATACTGATAACGAGAAAGTAGACGGGCCATTTAGCCTTTAGATAAAAATGAGATAAATTAGTTTCAATTATAAAATAAATATAAATGCGAAGCACAACGTTTAGAGTTGACTAATGCATATAAAAGAATTAAATGTTGCCTCTAAATTAAGTTATAGTGCTACAAATATGTTTTCCATGACCAATTCCAGTCACAGTTTTGAACACAAGAAAACTTTGGGGAGAAAAAAAGATAAAAATATTGCCAGCTCTACATTTAATTCATTTAGAATTCATTTAATTTTAATTTAATCAAACTTTTCACTTAGGAAATAAAACCCACAAAATCCATGGAGATAAATTGAATGAAAAAGTTTTGCGCACATGAAAACAACGCACAAAATATCATTAAAGCGAACTGAAGCGCACGAATACCACGAACATTGGTCGTTCTCGCTGTCGTTATCATTGTTGTTGTTGTTCTCATTGCAGTCGTTGTTGTTGTCGCTGCTCGGTTGAAGCTGAAGTCGGTTTTAAATGGGGTAAATGGGAGTGTAGGTGAATCCCGTTAGGCACCGCGCGGGACCAGACGTGTGTGTCAATTGCTAAATGTTCAGTGGAAGAGTGGAATGTGTTGAAAAGTTGTTTGTTGCTCTTGTTGTGCAATTTATCAAATCTAGCAGGCATCGTGTCAAAGTAGGTTAATGTCTCACCATCCCGTAAGCCCGCTGCCCCTGGCACCGCTGCTTTGCAAAAACTTGGAGTTAATTAACGCGCACACTCACATACGTACCCATCTCGTCATTGGCCCTTTGTGCATAAAAAGTGGAGCTGCCTCTGTAATCACATTAATCAGCATAATCAACTTCCAGACGAGACGCGTTCTCTATTGTGTAATCTCCATTCTCTACTCATTGCTCTAGTCACATGAATTTCAGCTAATATAAATGTTGTATGCGGGCACACCAGACTGCAATACACGAGCAGCAGTCGACATTACATAACCCCCTCAGTCAGCAGTTCACAAAAACACAGTGTTGAATAGACGCTGCAAAGAAAACGTTGCCTACTTTGTGGCGCACCAAAGCAGAAACGATACGCATACGCCCCACATGTGCTTAATAAATTGCTCATATTTCAATTATTTGTGTGTGAACGCTTCCACGACACTCTGCCCTAATTAGTGTTCGTCGCTGTCCACACCCTTTACTTGGTCAACACTAATTGCAGTAGGCACAACAAAAACAGCCGCTACATTCAAAGGATGAAAACATGCAACATAAGACGAAAATTAAGTAGCAAAAAATTATTGCAAAAATGTTTGATACAAATAAATACTTGTCTTTCCAGCAACAATATATACACACCTACGTCAATATTTAAACTTAATAAAGTTTTAGATAATTGAAGGAAGTATAACAAAGTTCTTCGCACTAATTTACATGTATCCGCTCGCTATAAACTAAATAAATATTTTAAATAAATAAATAGTTCTATAGTATGTGCTTTGCTACGCATATTCAAATCTTCAAACTTTCAATCCAAGTTCAGTCCTGCGCTTACTTCCCCTCCTAGAGTACATTTAGTTGCTATGTATTTTAATGCTCTGCTAAGTAACTGTTGCAACAACAAATTTGTATTTTACTAATTTAACAAGCTTGATCAAAATACGTATGATTCCTAGTGTATCTACCAGTCCTACGAATAAGACGCAAGACGTAACAGTGGCAAGTGTAAAGCTTCGCAAAGGCTCCAACCGCCTGATTGGCAGTGATAATTTCGTGCGCACCAGCAAGATAATGTTAATTATGAAAGTGAAAAGCAAAGAAGGCACAGCAACGCAAAAACATAGGCAACAAGGCAGAGCTTTAGTGGCTGCCTGGTCATTGACATATTTTGTGGTACTTTGAAAGCAAGAGAAAGCTTAATTGACATCTGCCCAGTCTATGGAAAGGGAATAACACGAAGACGACGACGACGAAGACGTTGAGTAGACTGGCGCTAATTGAAAGCCAGTCAAGTGTAATGGCGGTTTGGAACAGCACGGGGAAAAAACAGAAAGAAGTGTCTCGAAAAGCAGCAACAGCCGCAGCAGTATTAAATGCGTTTTTAGTTTGAGGAGCTTGGAACTTCAAAGCGCGTTTTGTTTGTGCATTTGTACAAGGATAAACTTACAGACAAAGCGCTCTTGTGCACATTTGCATATGCAAACAGCAACACAAATATGCGTTTGCAAACACTTACTCATACAAATACAAACAACAAAGTCGCAGCCGACAGTTAACATTACTTTCTGCTTTTTGGTCCTGACTGAACTGCGTTGCCTTTCGTCTGCCGCCGCCACCTCGCTGCTCTCTACAGCAATTTCATTTCCTCTCTCACATCCTAAACGGAATATCTATTCGCCTGCCATGCTGCTGCTTGCATATAAGCCCTTATTATATATTGCTTCTACGTTTATTTGCATCAGTTTTATGCAGCCAAGTAAAAGTCAGCACACGCTAACTTGTATCTTCAGCGCAGCTCTCAAGTGTTGTCAATGCGTCTTAACCTGATGCACTCACAATATTATATCAAATGTACGTATCTGTGATTCTCTTCCTCTTCTCCAATCACTATGAGGTTAGGTGTACATTTCAGCCCCTAAAAATGTCACAATTATTGTAAATAATTGTGCCCATACTAACAAGAAAGATAGATAGAGCGCCACGTTTTACAATTCCGCTTTTTGCTAATCATACAAAAGGGACAAAAAAAAGCTTGTCATAGTAATAAAACATTTAACTTTAACTGTCGTGTGTGAAACTGCATTTGATTTGCTGTGTTGGTTAAAAATGGCCATCATGCAACGAACAGCAGCAGAACTGCAAACTTTTCACAAAATTGTTGCAAGTCTAGCTGTCTGGCTGCTCCACTGGCCCTCACTCTAGACGATGTTGCTGCACTTAAGGCGCATCCTTTGCTGCTGCAGCCGTTGCTTTTGGAAGAAACTTCAGCCCAAGTAGTGTACAGTTTGCAAAGAACACACTTCAGTTGCTGCTGCTGCTTGTCATGCTGTTCTTGATAGTTTTTAATAAAGCAAATAAAACGACGACCCTCGTGCATTTTAAACGCATCTGCCTGTCTGATTTTTGAAAAAACCTGTCCAACTCAGAGGTCCTTCTTAAAGCGAAAACCAGTCAGTCAGTCAGTCAAGAGCTCAAGGATATGAAAATTGATCTAATAAAAAGCAGCAACCACCTGTACGCCCAGCGTAAACTAAGAACATTATAAAGTCGAGGGAAAATGTGTGAGGAAATGCGAATAAAACTGCTACCTGGCAGTTTGCCTTTGCCCCAGGAATTCCATGCCCCTTATCGGTGCCCAAAACCACATGCGCTGTATGACAAATACCGCCAGCTGACAAGAGTACTTATGAACTTCCTGCATCAATTTTTCGTGTGTGCCGGTAATTTCCAAATTGATGTAACTCATGCTTGAATGCGTCTTACATTAGATTCCTTCTTTGTATTCGCATTTGAATCAGCGATTAACATGAATTTAATTTAAGTAATTATGGTTATGTAAATGTGTATATATATCTTAGTATTGTACCTAAGAAACCATGAAATCTCTTGGATCCGTTGAACATGTGTTATGACGGGCCATCCGCTTAGACATGTGGTTGGACTTGTAGTCGTATATGTAAGACTTTGAATTCCCAGTCATTATTAACCCTTTAATACTTATATCGTATCAATACCGATTACATTGGGAAAATAAATGTCTAGGAATTAAGAACTTTTCCATATAACATTTCAATATTATTGCAGGAAGTCGTTTAAATCCGAAGCAGTGATGCCCTATATAAATATAAATGTTTGTATCAATCAGAAGAAAGAATGGCTATAATGGTATTACTCCGATTTAAAAAATAAATTATTTAAAAAAAACCCTTCATCAAAATTTGTATATTCTCCTACTATTTGTATTCATACTTGTGCCGTACTTCAGAGCAAACTCTTCTTTTAGTTTCCTGACGCATTCAAATAACCTTATGAGGCTGCTTATAGTTGCTCGTGCCTGCTCACTCACAATAAAACAAAAGCACTTCACACACACATGTACGAGTATATGTGTATGTGTGTATAACCACACGTACACAATGGCCCAGCCAAAAATGGCGTGCACACTTCCGTTTTAGCTGTTCTCATTTACTTTTTGCTAAATCTCGACGCTTTCGTCGCCTCCGTAACGTCGCTTCGTAACGTCATTCATATCCACCACGCCTTCATCGTTGAGTTTGTTTATTTGTTTAGCCTTCATGGGCACTGCTGCTTTAGCCTTTGCTTTGTCTATTTGTCTTTGGCCATTAATTCCTTTGTTTGTATTATAGTGT